GGCTGCTCTCAGGACAATGTTCCCCGTCCGAGCGAAAAGGACGGGCGGGGGACGGCAAAAAGTCGGAGGACTCCCTCGACCGCCTCTCGCCTCCGCAAGCGGAGGCTCGGGGCTCTTCCCGCACCCAAGGTAAAACAAGCGACCCGATCCTGCTACGGTCCAGGGGTTCAAGGCTGGGCCCTTAGGGGTTTCGACACATACCTCTGTGGCAACAGAGCTGGGGCACCACGGGCGAGCCTACAAGCCGAGGCCCAAGCAAGCGAAACGCTTGGGACGCCTCAATGTTGTGTCCGAGACCGGCAGGAGGTCTCCGAATGGGATCCCACCGTAGGGAGGCACCGAGCCACCGAGGCCCAAATGAACGGCCTCGGACCCACTAGAGAAACCTCCGTACTTTGGAGCGCCTCCTGACCGCTAGCCGACCCCAAATGAACGGGGCACGGGCCTCCACTGGACTTACCCGATAATACCACCGGTGCCATCGCCATACCCACCGAGGGTAGCGTGGCACATTCCACCCTCCTTCCGAGCGAAAAGGAAGCGCGAGGGTCGAATAAAAAGTCGAGAATCCCGACGGCCCTCTTGCTCCGTCGCAAGTGCAGAGCTAAGGGACTCTTCCCGCAAAACGCTGCCGAGGCCCAATGACTTGAGTTCGCACACGAGGGGTCTCGCAAAAAACCAACCCTCCTTCCGAGCGAAAAAGAAAGCGCGAGGGTCGCTCAAAAAGCCGAAGAACTCCCCGACGCCCTCTTGCTCCGTCAAGGAGGCTAGGGAGCTCCTTCGCAAAAGACGCCGAGACCTCATGACCTAGGCTCGCACCCCGAGGGGGGCTCGGCAGTCAAACCTCACGCTGAGGGGCGAACCAAAAGCCGGGGACCTCGACCGCTCTCTCTCGCCCGCGAGAGACTCGGGGCTCCTCCCGCAACTTTGCCGAGACCCAAATGTCTTTCCACAACATCGCCAAGGCCCCGCGATCCGAACTCGCACCTACGGACCCGCAATCACGATCAAAACACCTCACTCAAAGAGAAAAAGCCCCTCAAGAAGTGAAATCACCTCCAGGGCCTCGGGGCCACTGCTTGGATACCGTGAGAAGGGGTACCCCAAGCAAAATCCAAAAACGACCGCTTAGATTTCAGAAGACCGAAACCAGCTAACGTCAGCTGGCCTCGGCCGATTCTCCGACTCGCCCGAGGCCCCATCATCCATGGGGCCTCGGCCGATTCTCCGACTCGCCCGAGGCCCCATCACCGCTGGCCTCGGCCGATTCTCCGACTCGCCCGAGGCCTCATCACCGGGCCTCGGCCGATTCTCCGACTCACCCCGAGGCCTCATCACCATGGACCTCACCGATTCTCCGATTCGCCCGAGGCCCCTCACCGCTGGCCTCGGTCGATTCCTCGGCCAGAGGCCTCTCGGCCGAGGCCACCGACCCTCCGTCTCGCGCAAGGCGGGCTCTCGCAAAAGACGCCGCTACCTCTTCCTTCTCCCGTCCTTCCGCAAAACGTCGTCACATCAACTCAGCCAATCACTGCCTCGACAACACCAAGATGCATGCCCATGCACAAGATGCGAGAATGGCCGATGGGGGACAGAGATGATCGCATGTGGGTTACCCGCCACAGATTAAACCCCCTGCACGTGGTTGACGCCCATGCCTCACTGTGCTGCCAACTCCTGCCCAAGGACAACGCAGCATGGGGAGCCACGTCTGAAGCCATCGTGGGCCTCTAATCGCACCTGTGGCCAATAACTCCCCCAAGGCCTCGACAGCTTTGCTTCACTGGCTCGGCAACCGAGGGTCCATGACCACCGAGCCCCCACGATGGCTCGGCCTCGCATCTCGCAGAGCCGCCGCCCCCACGACGCCATTACACGGCGACCCGCACGTCGCCCGCCATGTCCTCCATCGACCGGAGCCCCACGACGCCAAGAAGACCGAAGTCTCACCAAAGATGTCACTTCCGCACGACAAGGACGGGCCACTCCATCGACCATACCACAACAAGAGAGCCGACCACGTGGCTCGGACACGCCACCCCATTTTACGTAAGCGCTATGTAGCACCTCAGCACGATCCCGTCCTCCCTTAGAGTATAAAAGGGAGGGATCGGGGCCATTTTCTAGGGGAAAAAGACGAACAAGCCGATAGCACTGCATACTACTCATATGCTGCTTGGGAACAACGCCTCAAGCAGCCCGCACCACACCGGCCGAGACTCAGGGCTAGTTCCTCTCTCACCTAGCTTGTAACCCCTACTACGAGCACTCCGGTGCAAGGAATACAAGATCGATCTCTCGATCGGACGTAGGGCCTCGATTGCTCGAACCAAGATAAACCTTGTGTCTCTTTGCGCCACCATCCGGGATTAGGGGCACGCAGCACAAATTCACTCGTTGGTTGAGGGACCCCCGGTTCCAAAACACCGACAGTACTGGTAATGGCATAGTATGAACCGGTACTGGTATGGCATCAACCGGTGTTGGCATAGCATCTATACCTCCTTGGTCATCATCAGAATCGTCTGAATCACTGCTAACTACATCACCGATTTTGTCCTCCTCCTCCTGCTCCTTCTCCTCCCGTTCGAACTCGTTCACATCGAAGGCATTGCTTATACAACCTACTGTAGTTGAATGAAACTGCTCTTGCGTCAACTGACCGTCCAAATCCATGTTACCCTAAGTCGCTTCCTCTTCGACCCCAAATTCTTGTTCATTGCCTCCAACACCGTCAATGGACGGGCCGTCCTGGACACCCTGCATCCTGTACCCATTCTCCACCACCACCTCAGCCATGGGCACATTGGAACCTTGGAGCACCATGGTGTAGCGGGACCAGTGAGCAAGGTTGCGTAAGGACATGAGGACATAGTGTGCCCTAGTCTTCCCAGTATCAAACCTCCCCTTCAGTGTGAAATCACCGCCAAACTTTGCATTCAAACGCACATAAAGGTCGTTGAAGCTAGGAGGTTCATCAAACCATTCCAATTCTTCTTCCATATCCTCAAACATACCATCTTCTCTTCTAACACTTCCTCCGTATAAAACTCTACCACAACAATCCATCTACAAAAGCATTTCAAGAAACTTCATCAATTCGTCGAAATCGTCGTACGTAATGTCCATAGTAATATTAATACCTATTCTAACTATAACTATACTAACTAATCTAATATTAACATCTATACAAGGCTAACTACAACAACTAATGTATAACTAGACTCACTAGGGGAGTATCTCGCGGCAACGGGCGGCCGGAGGCCGTGGCGCGCCGGCGTTTGTGGCGCGGCGGGAGCGGCTGGCGGCGTGCGGCCACGACCGGTGGCAGGAGCGGCGGGCAGGCGCTGCCAGCGGTAGGCGCGGCGGGCAGGCGAGGCGGCAGGCGCGCATGCGGGCAGGCGCGGCAGGCAGGCGGGACTGGGCCGCGGGCCTTTTAGCGAGCTCTGCCGCGCCACAGATCAGGGCGCGTCACTACCGCGCCAAGATCGGTGGAGCGGCAGACCCTGCCACGTCACCGGTCAGCAGCCCCGGTCGTCGCCACGTTATCCTTCCGCTGCGCCACCATGCATGGCGCGGCACAGGCGTTTCGCCGCGCCATAGCAATAGGCGCGGCCAAAAGTGTTAGTTTTGAAAAAAAAAACAGTGTTAGATTTAAAATTAGTTTAAAAAAGTGTTAAAAATAAAAAAATTCCAAGTTGTAATGTACGTACGTTGGCAGTTTGGACGGGCCACAGAGCTTCGGAATCTCAGAAAATTGAGTACATCAAGATGTAATGTATGCACCCACGTAAAGAAAAAGTTTAGCAGGCTAATTGCTAGAGCTAAACTCTAGCCAACTAAACTTTAGCTGGGGGTATTTCAGTGTTTGATACTCTAGCTAATTGAAGACCTTAGATCATGCTACCCCTCCTTGAGGCCTGTTTGGGGGGAGGAACTCACGGGCTACTCTTCTTCGTCCCGAGTCCCGACCGCGCAGGAGGAGGAGGTCATGGCCACGGCGGGTGCGGCCAAGCGGAGGAGGCGTGGCGAGGCAAGAGCGGCTAGGAGGATAATGCGTGGTGAGTCCTGCTGGGAGCCACGGCACACGCTGTCGGGTGCTTATGGAGGTGTCGGCGACCTCGGTGCTTGCCGCCGGGTACTTGCGGAGGCCTGCTCGGGGCGTGTCCTGCTCGCGGGAGGAGGCGCGGTGCTTGTGGAGGTGCTAGCGCGTGGGAAGAAGCCGCATGCAATGGAGGTTGGGGTGGCGGCGGCAGACGGATTGCGACGAATGTGGACTGAGTGCTTGGATTCGGAAAATATGGGAGGGCAATTTGGTCATTAGCCACTTTTAACTGCCATTAGCTAGATTGGAATAGCTTGAGGGATTGTGTATGTTTTGGCCTCTAGTTAAACTTTAGCCGGTCTTTTACCTAGATCGTTTAGATCCCTAGCAGCTAAATTTAGCCGGTTAAAGTTTTAGCTGGTTAATGAAAACAGGCACTCAGACCAACCCTTGGTACTGCTGGCTGGCAGCACGTATATATACTTATAGCTTCTGCTGGTTGGGGGCGTCGTGCCCGCATGAGCCTTGAGCAGCCGCGAGGAGGAACTCATGGAGCACGACATTCTGGTGGGTTTTCTTTGGCAATTCAATTCCCTGCATGTTGCCTTCTTATTCTTTGTTCTTTCGTCAGTTGAGTTGAAGGACGATGATTCGAAGTACGTACTAAACGCTTATTCTGCGAAACACAGCTGGGCACCACCACGAGGAGGAACGAGAAGCATGGGCAGTACGGAGGCTTCTGGCTAGCCGAGATCATGCAAAGGCCATCGCTGCCGCTCGCACACGCATCAAGTCCAACCCACCTGATATCTTGCTCGCCAGCTTGCCCAAATCAGGCACCACCTGGCTCAAGGCCCTTGCCTTCGCGACGCTCAACCGTGCCACGCACTCGCCGTCCGACGCCCAGCACCCGCTCAGGCACCATTAACCCCACGACTGCGTCGGCTTCCTGGAGATGATGGTGACCCAGGACGACGACGAGGCCCTGCTCCGTTCTCCACGGCCACGGCCTCTGCTGGTACAAACACACGTGCCCTACTCCCTGCTTCCCGATGCCATCACGGCAGAGGGCTCCGGGTGCCGGCTCGTGTACGTGTGCCGGGATCCCAAGGACATGCTGGTCTCCTTCTGGAACTTCTACCTCAAGGAAGCGGCGACGCTGGCCGCCGCCGGTTGCGGCGGAGGCTGGGTCGGGGAGTCGGCGGCGGCAGGCCTCACCAAATTCGAGGACGTCTTCGAGCTCTTCTGCGAGGGACGGTACCCCGGAGGCCCGTACTGGCGCAACGCCCTGGAGTTCTGGCACGAGAGCCAGAGGAGGCCCAACGAGGTGCTGTTCCTAAGGTACGAGGACATGCTGGGAGATCCGGTCGGTAATCTCAAGAAGCTAGCGGCGTTCATGGGGTGCGCGTTCTCCGAGGAGGAGGAGGAGGCTGGGGTGGTGGAGCAGATCGTGGAGCTCTGCAGCTTGGCGAGTCTCAAGAGCATGGACGTGAACAAGAATGGCAGTACGGTGCTGGCCTTCAGGAATGTGGCATACTTCAGGAAGGGGCAGGTCGGCGACTGGAAAAACTACATGACGCTGGATATGGCGGCGAGGCTGGATAAGATTGTTGAGGAGGCCACTCGAGGTTCTGGACTCACCTTTGCGGGGTCAGTCTCTCATAATTAATAAGATTTTTCAACTCGCCGGCGCTCTAAATAATTCCGTCATCGAAAGAATAAAGGTACCTTTTCCATGGACAGTGAGGCACCATGGCAGTATGATAAAAGTGTTAATGATGTGGTGTGTGTTTCGGTATCTGTGGTTGTACAAGAAAATACGGATCACATATCTTGTTTTATAATGAAATTATGTTCTTCATTTCTGACACCGCCATCGTTCCTACTTTAATTTCTTAATTAATAATGGAGAGGCACATGGTTGGACCAGTTCTGATTATTTTTTTAAGGGAACAGGGACTTATATTAAATCTTGGCACATTACACCCCAAATTACACATAAAAAATCTGAAATTAAAAATACATAATATTCTATATAGATTCTTGCATCGTCTTCTTCCCCAATGGCTTCTCTTGGACACCGAAATCAAAGTGCAATCCTTATGCCGAATCCAACGACTAACCCCAAAACATTGGACATGTCGCAAGATCCAGTGCTTCGAACCAGTCCAAAACGCATCTAAATAGCTGAAGGAACATCGACAGTTGCATCGCCAGGTACGACATAGGCTGCAAAATCGGAGAGCTCGAAATCCTCTACGCGGCCATCGACGATGAGATCGATGACCCGGAGTCACAGTCCTCATAGGGGGCTCCCAGAAGCACTCCTCCCCTTGCAGATAAAGACCACAAATTGGTCGTCTGCCGATGAAATCAACGCCTACAACGACGAACTCATCCTAGCAATCACCAAATTCATCGCAAGAAAACACGATCCCGACCGAAAATCATCTGATTTCACCGGAAGATTTATTGGACTAAACCCTAATCAACTAGATAGAAAAACTACGGGAAAAAATATGGGTCCCCTCCCCTTCTTGTCTCCGGCAGACGCACCAGAGAGGAAGAAGGAGAGGGGCCCTAGGTGCGATGGCGGCAGCGGCAGCAGAGCGAGGAGCGGTGACGGCGCTGGCGACTCTGTATGAGGCATACCTCTATTCATCCATTGTAATGTTTCTGGACCAGTGCACATTTCATCTTGATAAAAGAATATAAGGTCTCTCTTTTGGTGGAGCTCCTAGCAAAGAAACATTTTTATCTTTTCCCTCAGAATAAACTATGAGCTAGTGAAGCAGGGTTCAAAATTCACCAACATTTACGAATGTTTGTAGTTTCAGGTTAATGCATGTGCTTTATTGCAAGTATTCAACTATAGCCTTACTCATATTTTCTATTGTTTGTGTTTCTCACGTCTAGTTTCAACTTTTAACAACTATATGTATGCTCAGGATGTCAAATTACACAAATAGCGACAAATTACAAAGTACCAAGACACAATTTTACATAGCGATTAACATCCATTACATTAATACATACATCTTAACACAGCACAGCGAAAGATGATTCTTAATCTTGTCTTGAAGCTCCATTCTCCATGGGACAGTTGAGTGGGGAAATATACACCCCCCCCCCCTACTCCTTATAAAACAAAACAAAGATCCACCTTCTGGTATTCATCCATCATTTTACACAAGTAGTGAAATAAAACAAGCATAAGCAACCACTACTTAACAAGCATAATATGAGGTGATGCAGAGGCCCAAAGGCTGGACCACTACTATTGAAAATATTTTTACCAACACTATTTTCATTGACAGTTCTATTAAAGTCGATGGTGATACATTATCACTGCTACATTTGTTAGAAATCGAACATCATAAAATCCTACGCAAGTGCGTGTTGGGCAAAGATCCAAAGAACCGGATTAAATCGAGTGCCCAACATCATGCCAGCAAATGCATGAGACTGAAGGCATGCAAGGGCAGGGCAAATCATATGGCCGGAAATCTTTGGCCGGAGGCCAGAAGGCATGCACGCACGGACACACCCGGGTATGGGTATCGGTATAGGAAACTGTCACAAAGAGGTTCACCTCAGTAGCTAACAGGGCCGAAAAAACACACATCACTACTGCATTAGGTGCAATTAGAGTAAATAATCATAAGGGGCCTGACGTAATGCAGAAGCTAGGAGCAATAAGAGTTACCATATATATATAGTGGTTGACTACATTTGTTGTACGCTACTACTGACCTTCACTACATTCCCATTACTACCACCCTTCACTACTGGTTCATAACTTGAAAATCCGACAATGATTGAGGCTCCTAAAGAACTAGCAAAGAAGGTCCCTCTCACTGCCGGCTTAAGCCACAAGCCGGCAGTGACAAATAGTGAGGGTTCAAGCCATGAACCGGCCGCAGTGCTACTAAGACTATCACTACCGACTGGTGGCTTGAGGTAGCAGTGATAGCTACGCAACACAAAATCCTCCTTCCTCCTCACTCCTCTCTCCCACCCAGAGCACACTCATCAAATGAGGTGCCTTTCCCCATCTCTCCCTCCACCCTTTTTGCAATTGTAATTCATCCACCAGTCTTCAAATACTAATATGTCTTTGAAAAAAATTCTAGATTTTAGACAAAGTAGTAGGTTGGTGGGGGGAGCATCAAGCCTTTTTGTTACCATTTTTGTAGATAAAGGAACTGTATTTCAACATGGAACCATGCGCTGAATATAGGTGGACAAATATAATCACCCTTTTCTTTCACACTCAATTGTAAGGTTACAATCATGGTGTGTAGTCTACATTTAGATAGCCATATAGCCTCCTTGTGTGTGGAATTTGCATTTTCCATATTGGTTTTCCTTAAGTCATATTAGGATGTAATTATATACAACTTTTTTATAGTTAACAATTTATTCCTTGAAAAAAAAATATGAGGGGAGAAAAAGACTTCCATTCCCCTCAACTTATCCCTTGAAAGAGTAAGAGTAAGCTTAATTATTGACTTCTTTAAGCTGCCAACTGTTGGAATTACGGGTGAGTTAATGAGTTTCCATAATTCCATGAGGTTTCTAACAGAAGCATTTAATGAGTATGGCTTTAATAGAGGCATAGTAGGAACAGTCCATAGATCACCCACATATATATTAAAAAATATTAAAATTTACGATACATAATTAGGCCTTGTTTAGTTCCTCCCCTAAAGTTTACTCCCTATCACATCGGATGTTTGGACACATGCATGGAGTATTAAATATAGACTAAAAAATAACTAATTGCACAGATTGCGACTAATTTGCAAAACAAATTTTTTAAGCCTAATTAGTCCATGATTTGACAATGTAGTGTTATAGTAAACATGTGCTAATGCACAGATTGATTAGACTTAATAAATTCGTCTCGTGGATTACTGACGGATTCTGTAATTTATTTTTTATTAGTATCCGAACACCCCATGCGACACCCCCACGTGACATCCCTAAACTTTACTCTCTGGATTTAAACACCACCTTAGTATTATTAGATAGATCATTGAATACATTTCCATAATAAACTTATTTGAAGATATGAATGTTTCTAATATTTTGTATAAACCTAGTTAAACTTAAGAAAGTTTGACCGGCACAAGTCCCATAGCGACTCTTTTTATGGGACAGTATATATGATGATGTTTTCTCTCATGTACTAAAGACATGACATAACCTATATAGGGTCAGTTTATTGCCAGCAACACCTAAGGTTAGATGTTTGCCACACTTGTGGCTTGCCACATTTTGTGGTAAAATTAGACTGTTTGGTTCGTCACTAAGGTGTAGCAAAATTTCGATGGTTGTTGTTTGGATGGTTGCCACAAATATTTGACAAAATATTACAATATTACCACATATGGTTAAACTATATTATACTAAATCAAATCAAATTAATAATAGATAAGAAAAAATAGATTAAATAGAGATTGATAGATAAGAAATAGTAGCTTAAATATAGATACCGGGGAGGGGCTGTGAGGGAGGGCGATGCGGCAAAACGCCGGCCGCCCACCAAAACCAACCCGACGGCAACTACACGGCGACACACGACCGTGGCACCCTCGTTTGCTACTGGCTCCGCGTCCTCGAGCCCAAGGGTGTCCTCACGACTGGCTCCGCTTCCTCGCAGCCAAGGGCAGCCCCGGAGAAGAACTCGTCGTGGTGGGTGGGGTGAGGACGATAGCGTATCCATGGACGAGGAGGCGTGGCGACGGAGGGCTTTGTCGCGGAGGTGGAGGAAGACCACGCCACACGTTTGACGCAAAAAAAAAATCGTGGCAAATGCTTGTTCCAGACGTGGCGAGCCTTGTTTCAACAATCAACTAAACACACCTTCCTAAGCACTTGTGGCAAACATAACTTTAGGCGTGGCAGGGTGTGGCGGGGCAACCAAACAGGCTCATAATCTTTACTTCTTTTAAGCATCACCATTAATTACTACGAGAGTTTAGCACAAGCCTAAAAGCATAATATAACCCATGGTGACGAATACGGAATAAGACTATTTTGAAAGTTTGATGGGGGACATTAGTGTGGCTTAGCTATAAATTCCTAGATTATGAAAATAAGTCATTATAATTTATGAGTTCTGCATAATAATTTGTAATTTAGTTTGTCTTTTGCTTTATAGCTTTGCACATTGTTTTTTTAATTACTTTTCATAAAGCTAATACTTTTTATTGTTATCATATATATTAACTTACACTTAATTTAATATATTTATATTAAGGGGCTCTGTTTTAATTTGGTTCTAGGCCACGGAAATCTTGAGACCGGCACTGACACGGCGATCGTGAGAAACCACCCAAATCCCTAGCTAAGGTCATTGCACTCTCAGCACAAAACGATGACCTTGACGAAAATGACCATACTACAACCCCGGCCGGCCCCCATGCATTGTCGACGTCAGATTTTTTTTCTTTCTCACCTCTCACGAGACAAGGACCACAATCTATGAGATGATAGCAACAGGGGCCGCATGTTTGAAAGATCGATGATCACGTGCTACTATGGCGGTGTCACGTCGTCCCTGGCCGTTGTGAAAGCTGACCACCGAACCGATCGATCAACTTGCTAATGGCGTGGAACACGCGCTGGGTGTTGTTAACGTCAGCGCGACCGCGGGCCCGCAGGAGATGAGCGAGGCCGTCCTGGTCTTCTGGATCGATCGAGAACCTTACCCAGCTGAACGAGCTCGGAGTGTCCGGCGGCATCAACCGGAAGAACAGCTATAGCCAAAGTTTTTTTTTTTTCTGGAATCCCCTTGTCACTGCAGAGGCTGGCAGCTCGATGAGGACGATCGATAGTCAGGCTGCCCAGGCTACTGCTTATACAAGACTGCGGTCGTCCTGTTCATGGCCGTTTCTGCCCCCTTGGTGTGCGCAGCGCAGCTCACACTTGTTGTCGCAGGGTTGGTGATGGCTGCTTCCGGTGGCAACATCGAGGTCGAGGAAGCCAATTAAGGAGAATGCCGGGGGCGGTCGCCGGCCGGCTTGCCGAAGGCCGACCCGGCGGCGGCGAGCCTGGATGCGGCCCACTGCACCGTGGCCAGGATGGGTTGCCAGAGTGAGTTTTGTATCGTCGTTTCCTTCCATGGGCCCAAGATGGCCCAGCCCACTTCTCTTGACCATTGGCCGGTCCAACAGCCCACCAGGGTCCTGACAACCAGACAGTAAAATCTGCACCCCCGTGTATACGCACCCACATGTTCATCAGCAAAATTGCAGAGCTTAGATGGTTTTCCAGTGTATTTAGTTCAAAACTCACTCTCATCACTGTAAATTGCCAATACAGCATCACCTGGAACAGCATAGCTAGATTAATAACGACAGCGACAGTCTTTAATGCATTGATAAGAGAGACAGTTTGTCATCGGTGTACAAAGATGCCTCTAAAGCACCGAAAAAAAAAACAACATAACATCAGAGCTGGGTGGTCACCAGCACAAGCTCACAAAATATGACCAAAGCTTGCTGGATGGTCACCAGTCCAGACCTCTGAGAAACACTTAGTAAGGACACTGACTCTAGGACCAAACGATGCCCAAAACAGAGGAACAGAAAAACTTCAGAAAAATACGCGAAGCTCTTCTGAATTCTGATGCAGAAAAACTCGAGGACCCGGATTCGCTAGCAGCGCAGCTTGGATATTTTGCGTGCGTTATGTGTTCCTTGAGCACATATCAATCAACCCTACACAAGCATTGAAGATGTATCAGCGCATTGTCAACCCTACACAAACATTGAAGATGTATCTGCGCATTGTCAACCGCCATCTTAGAACATGTCAGTACTGTAAGATCGTACAAACTTCAAATTTGCCAGCAACTACTGCAGCTTGCTAATAAAAATTTGCAATTCTGGATGGGTAGGACATGGACTTCTGTCCAGATTTCAAGAAGGATTTGCACTTTAGAAGCTAACATGCAAAAAAATGAAAGAAGATTGGGAAATTATATAAAATGGTAGATGCCAATAGCTTGAAGTACATCAACAGAATAGTCTTCTTTCAAAATTTAGTGTCTGATGGGAACGAACTTTGTATTTCACTTCACTCTGTTAGTGCAAGCTGAGGCCGTGATGTAAGATCCAGGCTTTTATATTGGAAATCATTTATATAAGACAAACAAATAGTAGTATTTTGACCACTTCATTGTTTCAGATACATTGAAGAGACTTAAAGCATGGAGTTTTACTAACATATCCAAATTCAAGTCATAGGCACAGGCACTATACCTCCATGTCGACATCATTATCCTTGGATGCTTCACCTGTCAAAATGAAGAAACACATGTTGGTTAAATCTTTGTGTTGTAATTATGTCGAGAATTTATTAATATTAAATAACTAGTTAGGTCCTAATCCATAATCTACAATTCCTAAATTAGTACCATGTAAGGATGAATGCATTTTCTAGGCACATTGTGAGTATTCAGCCATTGAAACTGAATAGGTATTTATGATAAGTAATATTCTGTAAGTTTTATCATCATATAAATGAAGATGAAGGAAAGCTTCCGCTCAACCGAATGTCAAAGGAAAGTAAAGCATTATCAGTACTCTGCAGGCCACTCTATAGCAAATAATCAGGCACAGTTAAACTTGACATCCAAGTTATTTATGTCATTATAGGCTGATTACTAATAATTGTTTATGCCTAGCAACTCCCTCATCAAATCTTCTGTAGTGACTCTGTGGTCTGCAAAATGTGTGCATATATTTTCACTTGAAGTTAAGTCATTGTTCCTCCATATGGCAGATCCAAGTACCCACTAGCCATTATTCTACGAGGAATTTGACAGCTTATAAGTTATACTACAAAATAATCTAGATGAAATGAAAAAGGACATACAAACAAATTTCTACTACTTGCTCTTTCTACAGAACAAATTATATTTTAAGATGATACCACATAAAAAAGGAAGTTACAACTTCATTTCTTGTCTCCGATAAAAAGTTTTATGTGACCATTAGTTAACGGTAAGTATTTTTGCAAAGATGGATTACCTCCAGTTAGTTCTGATGTCCACAATGCTAAGTTGTCCTTCAGAAGCTGCATCATAAGTGTGCTATCCTTGTAAACCCCTTCACCAGAATTTATCTCAGTAAGAGCCTCATCAAATGCTTGTTTTGCCACTTGGCAAGCTCTGAAAAAGAGAGGTAACCATGAAACTCAGAGACTGAACTTGATGCAATTAAACACTAGTGGCCTGTCAAGCGGCATACTGGAATGACACCACATCTATCACGTGGCCAAATGCAGCTTCCAGGAGGGGGGAAAACAAACATAATCTTAAATGCCTTTCATAGAAAAGGGCAGAACAAATGAATCTATCATGTGCCCAACTAGCATCCAGTGGATTCAGCCTGTAAAACGCATTTTTAACTAAATATTGTGTTCGTGAGGTTTAATTATGCAAATGGCTAAATGTCTCAAAATGCCTTTTGGGAAAAACAAAATAATTTAACTTAGTAATAAAGCATCTGCAGCAGGTGAATGGTTTATTTGAAAATAGTCACCTCTTTGCAAGTAAGCCCATGTTTCAAAACATGTAACATGAGTGGATAGGAATATCTATGAAATTGAAACCTCAATGAAAAGGGAGAAACAAGCCATTGAAGATGAGTGACCTCTCATGAGAGTTCATTATCTCATAAAAGAAGACCGACAAATTGAGAGCAAGGCCAAGCCGGATCTGGTGGGCAGGTGAGAGCTCACTGGAGGCGACAACCATGGCATGCTGCAGCAAATGTTTGTTATTTTAACAGGAAGTGATAGGCTTTACCGAAAAGTTCATTTGAGCCCATGTATAATATTTGGAAGATTTAGCACCTGATAGGCCATAAGTGACTGATCAGAGTCAGCTTTCTTTTCAGTTCCAGTGCTAAATTCAGCCAAGTAACGATAGTAGTCACCATTCCTGCAACAATCTAGGAGTCAAATCTAAAGCAGGTAAGGAAAATATTGTAGGACAGGAGTATGATGTCAACATGCATGCGCTACGGTGGAGACATTATCAGTGAAATGATAGAGAATCAGACCTAATGTCAATAGATTACCAGGGCCACACATAGACCACGTAAAATTCCTTGTATCATCCTACAGCGTCAGATACACAATGGACTGATCAAGCACTTCAGAACTACTGAAACACCATTCAATTGTCCAATGTTGATGTATCCAAAACAGTCATGGACAGGATAATGAGATACCAAGATAATCATGGTAATTATTTCTCAGAAATAAAGTAGGCTATTTAAAAATTTTCACTATACTTACCATATAATGGAAACAATTTTGTAAGACTGAAAAACACTCATATATAGTGACTTTCATAATAAAGAGACTAAAAATGAAGGCCAATGTAACAAAATCTCATATCATTATATTAAAGCCGCTTGACTCGCTGAACATCTGGAGACCGGCAGATGGCTCAGCTATTTAAACTTATTTCTTTTCCTACCTTTTTGAACATCTTACCTGATAACACACTATTACAAGAAAGCTTTACATGTATTGATAAACTGAAGAAGCTTCAGCTAAATCCAGTACTCGGTAGCAACTCCACTAGGAAAGGAAGTACAAATGAGGCACAATTGATTTGGATCATCTTGGAAAATGCTTCGAAGAGTATCGTTTTAGCTAGGATTGTTTGAACTAAAACTTTGTTGACTTTAATTTTACCAACAATATCTGTGTAAAACCATATTATTTATAATCAATGAAATTATATATTGTGAAACTATTTGTCATGACAAATCTACTAATATATACTAATCCTATATTAAAAATGTATCCTGTTTTCTAGCTTTTGGTGACCACAGATAAAAGGGCTTGCTTTAGCACAATCCTAAAATATCACTTATTTGTGACTAGCAGAGTACAATGAACCCTAAATGTTGTAGTGATATGTAGTTATCTTTCTTAGTAAATTCCACAAATTATCATAACGTCAAAACACCTCGTTGAAAGCTACAAAAATTAACAGCAGGTAAAAGAACAAAGGAAGTAGTTTCATGTAATCATTTTATTACTCTTCGTACCGCTTCCGTTAAACTTGCTGACCACTCTATCAAGGAACTCAAAGCACTTAGGGTCCCCAGTCTGCATTAGAGCATAAGCCGTGGGAGCAGGTGAAGACATGAAGGAGCCGTCTGGACACTGGAGCTTACATAGCCTTTTCCCGTCCAAACCTGGCATTCCTTCTATGCTTAGAAGGAAAGTTGTTGGTACAACATGGAGTGCATCTCTCGGAATCCTACAGAGATAAACAAGGAAATTATTATGTAACCAGCATAGTGATAAATTAATTTTCTGTAGATGGCACAAGCCATGTTGAGACCCATTTTGAAGATGTCTCATATGAGTGTCTTCGTTGTTCTCATGGATGTCATAAGAAATTCCACGTCATGAACATGGATTTCTAGAGTTGAGGTGGCTTAAGGATTTCAACCGTGTCATATTTCCATGTCCCAAATGATGAGGACATGACACTGATAATGAATATACCCATGAAAGTTAAAGACAAGGTGGGCAAAAGATATATAGAACCCTTTTTTCAATTGAAATTGACCCATTCAGTGTTCAAATTACTAATATCTTTTTGAAAAATTCGGTTGGGGATGCGTCAAACCTTTTTATATCTTTTATTTAGATAAAGGAACTGTATGTCAACATGGAAGCGTGCGCTGAATATAGATGCATACATATAATGACCCTTTTCTTTCACAATCAATTAAGTGCTGTAAAATCATGATGTGCTAGTCAACATTTAGATAGCCATATAGCTAGCCTCTCCTTGTGTGTGGAATTTGTATTTTGCGTTTGTTTTCCTTAAAGCATATTAGGATGTAATAATATACAACTTTGTTCACTACCGGACAGAGCATCTTTGCCGAGGGCCTGAGGATTTGCCGAGGCAAAATGCTCGGGCACTCAGCAAAGAGTCTTTGCCGAGGGCCTGACCCTCGGCAAAGAACAGCCCTCGGCAAAGACTCTTTGCCAAGGGTCAGACCCTCGGCAAAGACAAGCACACGGCAACAATAATTATTTGCCGAGGGCTAAACCCTCGGCAAAGGGCCGGCCCTCAGCAACACCTCCTGACACGATGTCCATCCCCTACCATCAATCTTTGCCGAGGGCATCACCGTTAGGCCCTCGGCAAAGACTTTTTAACCGTTTTTGAAAATTTTCTTTTAAAAAATTCTTTGCCGAGTGCCCCTGGACCAGCACTCGGCAAAGACAGTCTTTGCCGAGTGCCAAGCTGGCACTCGGCAAATTTTCATTTTTTTTTTGTTTTTTTTACCACAAATTTTTTGTTGGGCCCGCCTACATTGTTTACAACTTCATGTTCAAATTTGGTGCTTTTTCTAGTTTTTTTTGTTATATTTGGTTGATTAATTTGATTATGTTGAATTTTTATATATAATTCAAATTTGAACTGCAAGTGCATGGAATATTGTAATCTAGTGCTTCGAAAAATGTTATTCATGGTATTTGGTGTATGTTGAGTCTTTATCCATGAACTCGCATCAAATTTCGCGCATCTTCTTCACGTAACATGATGAGCCACTTGTCGGAAAGGTGTTTTAAAATTATATAAAGTCCATACGAAGTCCGAAAATCATGAAACTTGTCAAGGTGTCATGTTATCGCATGTGTAGGTTGTGGTAAAAAATTGAGAATGTTTCGAGCAAGTTGCGACCTCACATGTGGAGATGTCTGGGTTTTATGTATCTGACATCGCAACTTGCTCGAAACATTCTCAATTTTTTACCACAACCTACACATGCGATAACATGACACCTCAACAAGTTTCGTGATTTTCGGACTTCGTATGGACTTTATATAATTTTAAAACACTTTTCCGGCAAGTGGCTCATCATGTTACGTGAAGAAGATGTGCGAAATTTGATGTGAGTTCGTGGATAGAGACTCAACATACATCAAATACCATGAATAACATTTTTCGAAGCACTAGGTTACAATATTCCATGCACTTGTAGTTCAAATTTGAAATAGCCAGAAAAATTCAATGAAACAAAACTAATTAAGGAAATATAGTAAAAAAACTAAAAATTGCCCCAAATTTTGAAATGGAGTATTAATTACTGTAGCAAGGCTCCAGAAAAAAATGGGACGAAAAAAACAAAAAAAATTAATTTGCCGAGTGCCAACCTTGGCACTCGGCAAAGAAGCCTTTGCTTAGCACCAGGTCACAGGACGCTCGGCAAAGAATTTTTAAAAAAAAATAAAAAAAACCTTTGCCGAGTGCCGCTGGGCCTGGCACTCAGCAAATCTTTTAACCTAAAGGCCCAGAATGGGCCGGCCCAACCCCACCCCCTCCTCACTCGTCTCCCACCCACCCCAGGGTCGCCGCGCCGCCGCCGCCGACCCCGCCGTCATCCCCCTCCAGTGAGGTCCTGTCAGCAAGAAGCAGCAGAAAGATTGTTTTATGCTCAGAGAGCTACTGCTAGTGGTGCGTTCAGGCCCAACAGAGAGAAGGATGAACTGACATACGCCATCGGGACTATTGAACATGGTGGCCGAACTAGAGACAAAGGAAGTGTCTCGTAGGAGCATGGATTCCCTCAGGACAGACCTTCCTACAGAAGCCGCCAGAGAAATAAGGAAGAAGAGGCACAGCGGCTCTAGAGGTTGGAGGAAGCGGTGCGTGAAGCACAGGAGCGGGAAAAAACCTTGAAGCGAGAATACAGGAGGAAATCAGAAGGCAAGTGCAAATAGTAGTGAGTGCAAGCAAGCAGGCATCAGAGCCAGGAATCAACATTAGCCCCCCTGCTCAGTTGAAAAGCAGCTACGCTTCCACGGAGATACCAAATCAAGGGGACACAGGACTGGGCTTCCCTGTGGATGACGTCACTGAACCTTGTACATCGTGTGAGCTACACATTCCGAAGGGGAATTCCACAATCAAGGTAGCTATCGGTCTTGTTAATCCTATCGACCGAACCAAGACACCAAGGATTCATGGGAATATAATCCAAGAAGGATATGCTACCATCTCGGTAGATAAAGCTAAAAAAGGTTTTAGTGATTTGCCTCTTGACATTCCTGGAGGTGATGGCGAGAAGACTCTAGGAGAAGCAGAGAAGACATTCATTCTATGGCGCAAGCACTACATCATCATTCCCGGGATGTCGCCTCCACCTCCTCCTAAACTATCTCACCATAGCTGTGGATGAAAACACTACATCATTAATTTATATTGGCTTAAATAATTAACAATCTGCTCATAATAATATGTCATTCCTTTTTTGTAGCAGATCCTCCCCCAACCTAAGTCCAATTGTTCAATCGTCAGATCATCATAGTGCTCTGTACGATGACAATGTGTTGGAAGACGAGGCTGCATCCACACCATCTCCAAGGAGGTCTCCAACACCGCAACCGCCACCTCCAAGGAGGTCTCCAACGCCGCTGCCACCACCTCCAAGGAGGTCTTCAACGCCTCCCCCGCCCCGCCTACCAAGAAGCCAAGTACTAGCAAGAGGCCAGACGCAAATGAAGAACCAGTCCCTGCTGGCAAAGAAAGCCACCGTGAAACAAAGGGCTATTCCAAAAATAATATCTAAAGAGAAGGAAGAAGTAACTGATGCATATAAAAAAGATATGTCCAGATTCTATGACAAACTTAAAAAGGATCAAGAAGCAAGGAGAAACCCGGAGAAACCGTACTTCTTCGTAGCTCCAGATATTCTAAGAAAAAAGGTGGCTTCTTACCAGCAACAACAGCGGGAATCTCGTAAGCCCTCCAAAGCAACGTTAATGGACTATGACTGCACTCTCACCAAGTCAATTGAGGCGGCGCAGAAAAAGAAGCGGGCAGGGAAAGGAGTTGCACAACTCGGACAGCAATCGCACCAATCAGTCCCCCCGCTAGTTGTTGGTAATGAATATGGT